ATGTCTTAAAGGGGGATAAAAGGAGAACATACCATTGTCTTTGCAAAAAGAGGCACTGAAGATATAGGAACTCTTAGGGAAAAAATCAAGGGGAGCAAAGTAAATGGATACAAGGTGAGAATGATACTTTACAAGGTATATAATTTTGCATATGTTTTGAGTTTTGAATTATATGAATTTATTATTGATTCAAAAAATTTTAATGGCAGAATGATATTGCATAAAAGATATTTTTATCACATTTTAATCAAGTTGTAGGAAATTTGAGTTATTTCTAATTCCTTGTTATCACAAACAATACTGTTGTCAGTATCTCTTAGTGAAATATTTATAGGCTTTGTTATCTCCATAAGATAAAGTCATAAAATAGAATTTCCGGATTAAAGGATATAATTTTTTCAAGGCTTTGTGTATGTATTAATGAATCAAGCACCAGAGGTTCTATATCCATTTTTTATAATTTTTTAACATTTACTTATATAACTGTGTTAGTCATCTTTCCATTACTGTGATAAAATACCTGAGAAAAACAACTTAAAGGAAGATTTGTTATGGCTCACAGTTCCAGAAGGTTCAGTCCATGGTAAGCTGGCCCCATTGTTTGTGGCCCCTGGTGAGGCAGAGCACCATGATGAGGAGCAGGTGGTAGAGCAAAGGGGCTCATCTCATGCCAGATAGGTGACAGAAATGGGAAGGGGAAGATATAAAGGGTTAGGGACACAATATATCCTTTAAAGAGACTTCCTAGGGACCTACTTCCTCCAATGGGCCCACTTCCTCATGGCCCATTCAGCTGTGTACTCATCAATGAATTAATCCTCATGACCCAATCACTTCTCCAGACCCCATCTCTGAACATTGCTGTATTGTGAATCAAGCTCTTAATACATGAGTCTTTGGGGACACTCATATTTCAACCATAACAATAACCCTTATGAACCTGGAGGACCATGTGACTTTGTCTCCAAAAAGAATCACTTTCAGAAAGCACAATTCAAATGCCAAAAATAATTTACAAAAGATTTGAAAATGCGTTTCACCTTAGAAGCCCTGAATCCTCTCTCCTCCTATGTACCCACTAATAAATATCCTGAGTAGCAGGGGGAAGGGCCAGTTCTCAATATAACTCAATGTGGCAATGTCAGGGCGACCCAACAGTTCCACCCTCCAAATACTTGAAGTACCAAATCTTTGACAGATGTCTCTCTGAAATGGAATCAGTCTTCCCTAATTCCCTGCATTAAGGATGGTGGAGCGAGTCCCAGAGAATATTTGTGGGCAGCTATGGTTTAGACGTGAATTCGCCCAGGGTTTCTTTCACATGTTAGAAGCTTGATCCTCTATGGCAGTGAAGGCGAATCTTTTAGAGACGAGGGCCCAAACTGCAACCCAAAACCCACTTATTTATCTCCAAGTGCTAACACTGCAATTAAACCTGAATACTAAGGTTTTAGTTTAGAAAAAAACAATTCATACATTTATATCTTTTGTCTTAAAAGAAAAACACAAAAACAGAGTTTTTAATGATACAAACAGCTTTTTTATTGAAAGGTAAAAGTTTACCTTTGGTGTTCTGGGATGACTTGGCTTGCAAGCCAATGGGCGGGGGGCCCCTCTGTGTGCCCACTGCAGCTCATGTGCCACAGAGGCGCCACCACCGCCCTATGGCCATGTTAAGAGTTGGTGGGACCTTTAAGAGGTGGGGCCTAAGAGGAGGTCTTGGGTCACTGGGTAGTGCCTTTGGAAGGGATTAATGGGGCTTTTCTGAGACCTGGCTTCCTGTCTCACCCTGTGACCTCCTACTTCACACAAGCATTACCATCACCATGGCATTTGCCATGAGGTCTCCACCAGAGCTCCCAGCACCATGTCCTTGAATCTCCAATCCTGTGAGCTAAATAAATCCCTTTTGTTTATAAAGTACCCATAGAAAACTGATTAGTCTGGGGGATGTGGTAAAATTACTCAGATTTAACATTTTCAAAACATTACATCTGTTAAATTGTCATTATGTATGTCTCTTAAATGGATTCAAACATATAATCTCCTGATCCCAGATTAAAGTCTCTTTTGCTCATCCACTCACTGTCCTCACACCCAGATGGCCCTCCCTTGACCTCTGCCCCTCCTTCCCCACTTCCATGTACAGATCCACTCAGCCTTCCAGAGAGAAGATTTGGAGCTGTCAGTTAGAGAAATCGCCTTGACCAGCAGGGGAGTCCATTAATAGTTTTCATCCTGTCATCCACTTCTTCAGTTCTTACCAGGTTTCTGAGCCAAAGTGGGGACATTAAGTTGTCTCCGGCAAGGCCAGTGTGGTGGTGCACTCCTGTAATCACAGCACTCGGGAGGCTGAGACAGGAGGATCACCACAAGGTCAAGGCCAGCCTGAGCTACATGGTGAGTTCAAGGCCAGCCTGAACTGCATAGAGCGAACCTGTCTCAGAAAAACAAAAACGAAAAAAGAAAAGAAAAGTTGTCTTCACCTACATACTATGAAATTTTCATTCCCTCAGAATCCTATCCAGCCCATCCAGGGTTCTCCGTGTTCACCCCAGTCTAGCTGCTATGCATCCCACTGTCCATCTACTAGTCCGAGGCATCCCCCCCCCACCGCCCCGTAGAGGCTGTGACACTGACGGCCTGCCCCGTGTCCCCTCTGCCCAGCTCAGCTCCCTGCAGGGACAACTCCTGGCACCGATACTCCCTCTTGCCCACATCCTGAGCTCTCTTCTTTCTAGCCTCAAGCTTTCTCCATCAGCCAGGCCCAACTCCAGAGTAAGGGCAATCACTGCCCTCCAGGAAACCATGCATCAGAGGAGGCGCAGGAATCTGCACAGACTGTCTCAGCCTCCTTGTGCCACCATGGATATTGTGAGACGTGCTCTCCACGGCTCCTCAGGCGAGGTGACCCCCAGCTGCCCACAGCAACCCCTGCCCATCACATGCACAGCACAGTGTACTGGCTCCTCTTTCTCTTCTTACGCACCCACTTCTATACCCCATCATCTCCCAGTCAGCTGCCAGCACTCTGGTTTGCCTGGGGTCCCCTTGGGAAACCTGAACCCAGACAGCTCCTGGTGGCATTTTGTTGCATTGTTCTCCATGCAATCACTGCTGCTGGGGACTTTGTGTCCATCCCCAGGCAAAGCTCCTACTCTGCTGATTGAAATCTACCTCAGGGTTTTAAGACAGCAACTATGGATGTCGCTATGGTTTGCACCTGAAGGTCTTCCCAAAGCCTCGAGCACTCAGAGGCCAGCTTGAGGATTTGGGGGACATTGCTGCAGCTGATTTGATATTAGGAGGTGGGGGCTGTCGGAAGAGGCAGGTTGCTGGAAAGTGTGACCTGGAGGGCTGCATCTCCCTCCCTGGCTCTGCTCTTGGCTCTGAGTCCTGTCTGCCATGAGGTGAGCAGCTTTCCATTGCCCAGACCCTTCCTCCATGCCCCCAATCATGCAAGGACTGAAACTTCTAAAATGTGAGCCAAAGTAAACCTCTCCTCAGGACGCCCATGTTGGGTATTCTGTCCCAGTGACGAGGGAAGTGGCTAAGGCAGAGGTTGGGTTCTGTGTAATAGCAGCCCTGCAGTGTCTCAGAGGAGTTCTGGAAATACCAGATGCAGAGGGCCCCAAAGGTCTATTTGCCCCATAAAAAGGTGGTGATACAGGCGGGTGAAGCCTTTAGCTGATATTGGTGAGTGTGGGCCACGCCTATGAGATCATCCTCCCAGGCATACCTGACCACCTCATCCTCCCCCTCCTCAAACAACAGGACCTCCCCTGCCTCACATCTGGAGGCCTCCCTGGCCACCTCAGTACCAGCCACCCACGGCCCCACCTCTGGGGAAGGCAGAAGGCTGGGTTTCCTGTTGTGGATCCTGTTAGGGAGATCCTGGCAGGCAGAAGCAGTGGGGTCAGCCCCACACAGGGTGGGAAGGGCAGACCCACAGGATGTCACCCTCAAAGGTTTTAGACCATCCATCCAGGAATTTTAATCAGCAGGCCAGTGGACTGTGTTTGATATGCTTTAACCAACCCCAGCGTAAGTAAGAAAATTCGGGAACGCCCTAGACCTTCAGTGGCCTGCCACAGCTCCAGTTCCAATTCTGTATGCGCCTAGCGCTCCCCATCTCTTGAGTTTAACCTAAGGACCAGGGAGGTCCTGGGAGTGGCCTACCACAGAGGCTGCGGGAAGCCAACAGGAGGGCTCCTTTCGGGTGTCCCGTAAACGGACTGAGAGGCCGGGCTGGACTGCGTTTCAATTGCCCGGCCACCTGACAGTAGTGATCCTCTCGAGCTTTGGGCGGCGACCTCAGGGTTGGATCTGCGCGCAGGGCAAGCTCCCCCGATTCCCAACTTCCTCCCAGTAGGCATTCTTCTCCATCACCACCACATAACACCCACATGCCCTGTCGGAGCCTCCCTGCACCCCTCCCCCGAGGCTGCATCCCGGCTTGCAGCGAGCCTGGACGCTGGCACTGGGCGCCCGAAGAAAACAGGGCACTCCGCTGCGCGGGCGACCAGGTCAGGGACCCACAGCGGGGCGCGGAGGGCTGTGCTCTGTCTGGCTCCTGAGCTCCCAGTTCACACCCGGGCGCTAGACAGTAGAAGCCCTCGAAGGCAGTGCCAGTGCCGGAGGTGGAGCTCCAGAGTCCAGCGCGGGCGGCGGGGTGCAGACGGGGACCCCGAGGCGGAGCCAGAGCGGGGCGGAGCGCCCGGTCCAAGTCCGAGGCGCTGGGGGCGCTGCGGGGGCGGGGAGACTCCGCGAGCTCAGCGCAGGGGGAGCGCGGGTGAGGAGGAGAGGACCGCGCGGCTGCACGCTTGGCGCCTCTGAGAGTGTCAGCCGGTCCCCGAGGCAGGAACCGAACGGCCCGGCCGCGTCCACACGGCCCGCGACCCTCGCCCGCCCGCCGTGTCCCCGAGTGTGCCGGGGGGGGGGGGGGCGAGGTAGGAAGGCTCGGAGCCTCGGGGTCGGGGACAAAGGAGGCTGGACGGGACGTAGCCGGGGCGAGGGGCTCTGACGCTTTCGTCTACTCCGGGCAGTTCGGGCCGCTCAGCCTCCTACATCTCGGGGTGCGCTCGGGCTGTCTCGGGCTTGGCGGGCTGGTTCCGGATCCCCACGGGGCGCCCCCACATCGGCGGGGAAGCTACGCCGGGACTGAGGACTGCAGCCGCTTGGTGAGTGGCCGGGAGGACAGGGCAGAAGGGGAGCAGAGTCGAGGAACCGTCTCTGGGGAGCCCCGCGCCCCCACACCCTCTGCTCCCCCAGTTTTCTTCCCGCAGGCTTTGCTTGTCCAGCGTGAATCTCAGTTGGTTCCTCCTCCCGCCGGGCTGTCCCTCCACGTGGTTAGTCCCGGAGAAGCAGAGGAGCTGGATCGGGAGCGTCACCGGCCGGGACACGCTGGTTCCGCGAATGGGCCGGGGAACCGGCCCTGCCCGGCAGATGCGCGCCCTCTCCCCGGGCACAATCCCCGCTTCTCCGTCCCCAGCCGAACCGTCTGCGGGGTTTGGGATCTCATGTGAGAGTGCAAGGCGACCCGAAGGGAGGACACCCGGGTGCAGACGCCGCTGGGACCTGAACTTCTCCTGTCCCGGTCTTTCCGCTGTGCACCCAGCTGGCTGACGCGCTGTAGGTCGAAGTGTCCCTGACACCTGTGATTCTAGTCCCTTGTCAAGGTGGCTGCTCTTGTCCCGCACTTTCGTCCTTCATTCTCAGAGAGTGACAAATCTTGCTGTTTGGTCACTTCTTGCTACCAATACCCTGCGATCCCTGCACTTGGAGTCGTTTGCAGGTGTGAGGGAGGGAGGGAAGAAGGCCTTCGCGGGTGGCAGGACGACCCCATTCAGCGTCCTACCCCCTCTCAGTGACATGGTGCACCCTGTGGTCCCCTGTCTCCTGAGGGCTCCTTCTGCAGACTTCATTTCCTCTCCCTTGGGCCTCTTGAGGCTCGGAGAAGATAAAGAACCTCTCAGGCAATGAAGGACAGTTGAGACCTTGGCCCCTCCCCTGGAGCTCTTTTCAGTTGAGCCAGACTGTTTTCAGTTAGAGCAGCCACCTCTTCCAGAGGACACGAACCCTGATGACAAGCTATGGTGTCTCCTAGTCAGGTTGGGCAGCTGAGCCCCTGTTGAAGCAGGGAGCGCCAGGTCTGAAGTAGCAGGACAGGTTGGAGATAAGGGTTCCTCCAAAGAAGGAGAGCAGCAGAATTCCCTCCCCTCTCAGCCTCATTCAAGCACTCAGCAGCTTCTTATCCAGCCCCTGCTGTGCATCAGCCCCTGCACTGGACAGGGGAATTTGGTTTGCAGGAAGTTTGGGCCTTGGAGAGCATAAACCACTAGCCCAGCATGACTCAGCCTGTCCATGTGAAAACGGTTTTGGCTAGGACAAAGGAATCTGTGCCCTGCTTTGGAGAAAGACCATTTCCCGCCCTGTGGATGGTATAGCACTGTGACTACCGTAGAAGCCTGGGCCAGCCAGCCTTGTAAAACTTTAGAAGACCCTTGGTGAGGGACTGATGAGAAAGTGGGGGGCAACTTAGCAGTCAAACCAGCAGTGGCCCCTGGGGAAGGGGCAAAGTTGCACTTTCTTCCTGGATGTCCTGGAGAATTCAGTCCCTCCCATGCCCAGTCTTTCCTGAGAGCTGCACAGCTAGTGGAGGCATTGAAGCTTCCAGGTCTCATCCCCCCTCTCCCTGTCACCCAGGCAGTTCTGTGGGGGGAGCTCTGGAGGAACAGTGCCCAGCCTTCTCCCGCATGCCCTCCAGTGGTCGTGTCTCCTTTCAGGGTCCTGGACGGTGTCAACACTCCCCAAGGATGTGAACGGGGCACTAGGCTCACTGACCCCGTGAGATCCCGGGCTCCAGGTGCTGAAACCCACTCGTCCACCCTGCCCTCAACCTCCGGGCCACTCCACCTGCACATCACCATGACAGCCCAGAGCAGAAACACCAGCTTTACACCCATCTTTAATCCATCCCAAGACCATGGCTCCTCGCTTTCCTTCAACCTGAGCTATGGCGATTACGACCTACCTCTGGATGAGGATGATGAGGACATGACCAAGACCTGGACCTTCTTCGCAGCCAAGATAGTCATCGGGGTGGCACTGGCAGGCATCATGCTGGTCTGTGGCATTGGCAACTTTATCTTTATTGCTGCCCTTGCCCGCTACAAGAAGCTGCGAAACCTCACCAACCTGCTTATTGCTAACCTGGCCATCTCCGACTTCCTAGTGGCCATTGTCTGCTGCCCCTTTGAGATGGACTACTACGTGGTACGAGAGCTCTCCTGGGAGCATGGCCACATGCTCTGCGCCTCCGTCAACTACCTACGCACTGTCTCCCTCTACGTCTCCACCAATGCCCTGCTGGCCATCGCTATTGACAGGTGAGGACGGTGAGCAGGGCTAACTGGTAGGAGCCAGCCGGGCTGCCCCTTTTCTCACTTGGTCTCTGTCAGGCTGGCTTACCCTGGACTTGAATGTTCAACAATCTGTCAAAGGGTAGGGAGACTGATTCTGCAGCTGTGTTCTGTTCCCCCAAATATGAGCAAGGAGGAGGTGCCTGCACCCCCTAGCTCAGGCCTTGCCCTCAGAGGTAGGCATGCATGCAACCAGTGCATGACACCAAATACAAGGAAAAACAGAATACCCAGACAGCCACAGCTTAGAAACCACAGGAGCCTTCATTAACAAGGGCAGCTTCCAATCAAGACCATAGGTACCAAGTTTTTCCTGTACCCAGAGATTCAAAACATTCCTATCCACTAGAAAACTTCCTTGTACCCTTTAACCAGTTTGCCCCACCCTAGGCAACCATCGATCTAATTTCTATTATCATGGTTCTTCACATAATTCTGCCTGTTCTTTAACTTCATAGAAAAAGGAATCTTTTAGTATTTAGTCTTGTTTCTGGTGAGTTTGTTGCAGGGCTGGTTTTAAAATAAGATAGCAGGGTTTGCTTGCAGAAAAGAGGAAAGGACATGCTTGCTTTTGCTTTTTGCATAATCAGTGTGCTCATTTGCATAGATTTGCATGAGATGTTCCAGAAGTCCTTGCTCTATTATAAATCTATAAAGTAAAATTTACAATAGCAGCTAATGACAAATCTTACACATTTCATTTATGTGAAGTTACAGCCCAACATCAGATCACCAGTGACTGAGAGGGACAGTTGGTGTCACATCCTTTTGGTGACTGTCCACCTTTTTGAGTTATGCAAAAACCTCATTTTGATAAGGTACTTAATCAGCTTTTTTTCCCTTTCATCTCCTTTCAATGCTTCAGTTTTTCCTGTGTTGTCAGTTTCATTTAGGGTTTTTATCCTTTTTAATCAACCAGTTTATTATTTTCCATTTACAGTGATAAAATGCACATACAGGTACAAGATGCATCTTCCTTTTTATAGCATAATAGCTGGAGGAAATGCAATTTTATTGCAGTTGTGAGGCTCTCTAGCCCTGGTTTATGAATTGCACTTACCAACCAGCTGAGCAACCCCCCCAGGGAAAACAACACAAAGGATCATTTGATAAAATGACTTAACTCCTGGGCCCCACAGGAGTCTCCTGGACAGGAATCTCTTGGGATGGGCCTGAGAAATCTGCATTTTTTATCCAACTCCTTGAGTGACTCTGATGCTTGCTAAAGTGAGAGCGATCACTGCTCTCCTGTCTTGTTCAGTTGTCTTCATGACGTCAACTTTTTTGTGTTTTGTCTTGTTCACAACACTGGAGTCTCTTAGGAGAGAATCATCCTGCTCTGACACAACAGAAAACAGGCAGAGTCCTCCTTCACCCCAAACCAACCTTGCCTCAGGCTGCCTCCCAGCTCCATGGGCAGTGCCACCAGTCAGCCCATGGAGGGCTGCCTTGCTCCCCACCCTACCCCACCAGGGCCACCCCCGTGTTTAGCCCTATACCAACTCCTGGCAGTTGTTCCTCCAGCCCATCTCTTAGCAGGCCATGTCTGGACCATGATAATGCTCTTCTGACCTGCCTTTCATTCCTCAGGGCCTCCTTCCTGTCCCCGGTAATCCATACTCATCCATAGGAAGCGTCAGAATATCACCACTGATGGATCTTTCTAAAACATTGTGCTTCCTGTAAAATCTCTAGACCTTCCAGTGCCCACAGAACACTTGCCAAATCCTGAGCTTAGTATCCTAGGCCTTTATAACCTGATACCAGCCTGGTCTCCAAACTATGTATGGAGAATCAGGCAGTCTGGTCCAAAAGACAATGTGTTTGGAAAACAATAACCACGTCTTCTTTCTTTCTGTCTCCACAGGGCTTGCACAGACCCTCACCCCTGTGTCTTAGTTTGAGTTATTCCTGGACACTCTGAAACCATGCCCAGGTCATACCGGGAAGGATCTGTAGGACAATGGGAAGTAAGGCAGGGTAGGGAAGGCAGTCAGTACAAGGTGCATTATTAAGCAAGTTTCCACTGGGAGCAACTAGGGCTCCTTCCTGCTGAGGGAGGCTTGGAGTTGATGTGAATCATACCCCAGAATTCCCCCAGGAGCAGGAGGTTCGAGTGAGCTAGAGTATCTATGCACCATCTCTTGTAAGTCTCTCCCAAAGCCTGCTCTGGTAGCCAGGAGGACCCTGAATGCAAGAGAAAATCTTCAAAGAAGTGCAGGTGTGGGAGATGGGCATAGACAGGTGTGTGGTGGAGCGAGGACCACCGATAACATCCACTACAATCTGACAGATCCAGAGTGGGTGGCTGGGCTGCTGTGTGCCCAGACTGTGTGCCCAGGCCGTTTCTTCCACACAAAAATTAGTGTTTATGAAACATGAAGAGTAGTCCGGAGATATTGATTCATAAATGCTAGGTTTGGGGCGGGGTACTCAGCCTTCATGCTGAGCTATTTCCCAAGCCCTTTTCTCAATTTTTTTACTTTAAGGATTTGAAATCACAAAGTTGCCCAGTTGGGCTTGAATTTGCAATTGTCTTGTCTCAGCCTCCCATCATGCCTGGCATAAATGCTAGGTTTTATGGCAAGAAAACTTCTCTGAGCATCTTATAATTACTGATAGAGGAACTAGCTAGAGAAGAGGCTTTCCAGTGGGGGGAGTGTATAACGGTTGAGAAGAGGGGCCTCACAGCTAGGCCTTTGGGGTCCGATAAAGCTCAAAGTTGTAGAGGCAGCAGGCCATAGAATACAGGAGTTTAATAACTAGCACCCCTTTGCCTCCATCAGGTTCTAAACCAATTGGGAAATAAGGTAAATGATAAGAAAGATGCATGGCAAACTCTCATCTTTAAACTGATGATGCTGATTTGGGGAATTGGGCTTTGTGGGAGGCACAGAGACCACTGCATGCTTGAGCCCAAAGAGAGATAGTCCTGCATCCCCCGGGAGAAGCAGAGGGTCCCCATGTACCCCATTTATCTTTGGTTAAATACCCAGTATCTCTACTATGTAGAGATATCAGAAGGACCACCCAGCGCCATTTCTGAATCCTATAGCCAGAGAGCAGCCAGGCTCAAGTTGTAGAGAGTGGAAGGACATCGGAAATCATTGACCTCAAGAGACACACCCAGGGCTGGGGATTTAGCTCAGTGGTTTTGCCACCTGCGCAAGCGCAAGGACCTGAGTTCAATCCCTGGTACCAAAAAAAAAAAAAAAAAAGAAACACACCCAGATAGACGGCAGCAGAAACCTTGCAGATGTCTCTCTTGCCAATGAATGAGTCACAGGAAATGATCAAGTAAGCAAAGTACTATAGCTTCCAGCATGCATTATGTATGTTGACTCTCTTGGAACCTGACAGAAGTCTTGATAGATTGTCAATAAGCTTATTACCCCCATTGCACAGATGTAGAAACTAACTCCCAGGAGCATAAATGATTTATCCTTAAGTGTGCAGCTTGGATCCGGGCTTTCTAAATACCTCCTAGATCAGTGTTCTTTTCTTTGCAATTTATTTAATGACAACTCTGAATTTTGGAACATCCTGCAGAAGGTGTTGTTAGAGCCGGGTGTGGTGGCACATGCCTGTAATACTAGCACTCAGGAGGCTGAGGCAGGAGGATCATCATGAGTTCAAGGCCAGCCTGAACTACATAGTGAGACATTATCTCAAAAAAACAACAAAAAAAGCAAGAGTGTGGATATTCCCTCTGGTGGTAGTTACTGAGATGCTGCCTATGATGGAACCGGATTGAGAGAGGTATTATCTCTGAATTTGTTCTGGGTTACCTACGAACTTTGGATTCAGTATGGGAGACAGAATAATGCCCCCACCCAAGATAACCACATTCAAATTCCCAGAACCTATGAATATGTTACATTATATGCCAAATGGGAATTAAGGTAGCAGAAGGAGTTAAAGTTGGTAATCATCTAGTCTTAAATAGGGAACATATACTATATTGCACAAGCTGGGGGAGGGGAGCAGAGGAATCTCAGAGGATCTTAATTGTGAGAGAGGAAGCAGAGAGTTAGTGTCTGTGTGAGAAAGACTGGCCTGGCCATCACTAGCTTTGCACAGATAAAGGGCTATGAGGCAAGAAATACAGGCAGCCCTAGGAAAGGCAATAAAACAAATACAGATTCTCCACTTAGGGCCTCCAGAAGGATGCTGTCTTGCAGACACCCTAACTTTAGCCTAGCAAAAACCATGTCAGACTTCCAATCTCCACAACTATATAACCAGTTCGTGTTAGTTCAAGCCACTGTGCTTGTGATCATTTGTTAAAGTAGCAACAGGAAGTGAGTTCACCCAGTCATCAGAGAAAGACAGGGATTGGGAGACGTCTCTGCTCCACTGAGCTGAGCCAGCTTATTTGTCCCCATCTCCAGCTCTATGAGTTTTGTCCACCCATATCCATCACATGAACAGGTGAAAAACTCCAGCAACCATTGTGTGATTAATACAACCCTTGGGGTGCATCAGGGGTCAGGATGGACCAGCTGCATCCTAGATACCCAGAAAACCTCAAGCTGGGGAGAGCCATTTTGCCTCGGGATAAACACACATGGGGCAGAAATATTGCCAGGGACAGGAAGCAGTAACATGGCAGAGGCCTTCTTAGTCAAGTTGGAGACTTGGAAAGGTGATCAAAGGGTCATTGCAAAGGAAAATTGAGTGAAATTTTCTACGTCTGACTTCTTGCTTTCAGCCTCACCTGATTCAGGGCCCAGGTATGATATATGTGTTCCTAAGAAGGCCATTCCTGCTGCACCAGCCCTGTAATACAGGGTGACACCTCATGGGAGGGGAACAAAGCCTCCACCTCTCTAAGGTGCACCTCTAAACCCTGAGCTATTTGAAGTGAAGTTGAGGGTATTACATTCATGGACAGAACAGCAGGGTGGTGTAATAGGACCATTAATAATAATAGGTCACGTGTGTTTACTGAACACCTACTGCACACCAAGAATTTTACATTCTCGTAGTGTTCACAGCCCCCCTGCAAGGTAGGCAGCATTTAATCCCTGGTTACATTGGAGAAACAAATCTCAGAGAGATTGGGTAATTTGTCCAGACCTCTAAGCCAGTCCAGAGAAAGCCAGAATTTATCCAACCTGTTGGACCCAAACCCTGTGCTATTTCTACTAAATCACTCTATTATCCCACATGCCAGCTGATGTAGCAAATATGTAATGAAGCAGGTTAAATCTGGGTAATGGGCACAAGGGGACCCATTGTGCCACTCTGTCTGCTGTTGCGTGTGTTCAGAGTTAGTTTAAAACCAGTAATGAGTTGTGTGTGGTGATGTGCACCTATAATCTCCACACACTGGAGCCTGAGACATGAAGATCTCAAGTTCGAGCCTAGCCTGGGGAACTTAGTGACTTCAAGATCCTGTCTGACAAAAAAGAGCTGAGGATGTAGGTCAGTGCAAAGGTCATGTTCAATCCCTACTGCAAAAAAAGAAAAAAATCCCAATGTTAGTAATGTTTCCAAGTATACATCATTATGACCATTGGCTGCCCTCCCCCTCAGGTATCTGGCCATTGTCCACCCCTTGAAGCCAAGGATGAATTACCAAACGGCCTCCTTCCTCATCACTTTGGTCTGGATTGTCTCCATTCTTATTGCCATCCCATCGGCCTACTTCACGACAGAAACCGTCCTCTTTACTGTCAAGAACCAGGAGAAGATTTTCTGCGGCCAGATCTGGCCAGTGGACCAGCAGCTCTACTATAAGTCCTACTTTCTCTTCATCTTTGGCCTGGAGTTTGTGGGCCCCGTGGTCACCATGACCCTGTGCTACGCCAGGATCTCCCGGGAGCTCTGGTTTAAGGCTGTCCCCGGCTTTCAGACCGAGCAGATCCGCAAGCGGCTGCGCTGCCGCCGGAAGACCGTGCTGGTCCTCATGGGCATCCTCACCGCCTATGTGCTGTGCTGGGCGCCCTTCTATGGCTTCACCATCGTGCGCGACTTCTTCCCTTCCGTGTTCGTCAAGGAGAAGCACTACCTCACCGCTTTCTATGTGGTCGAGTGCATTGCCATGAGCAACAGCATGATCAACACCGTGTGCTTCGTGATGGTCAAGAACAACACCATGAAGTACTTCAAGAAGATAATGCTTCTCCACTGGCGTCCCTCCCGCCATGGAAGCAAGTCCAGTGCTGACCTTGACCTCAAAATGAGTGCAGTGCCAGCCACAGAAGAGGTGGACTGTATCCGGCTGAAGTGAGCTGTTGGTGTTCTGGAACTGAAAACCAAGCTTCAGTACTCAGAGCGTCACACACTATCAGCCAAGTCACAGGCTGTGTGGGAAGGAACAGCTGTGTGCACACCTTCCTGCCCTCCAGGAGCTGGATGCTTCTCAGTCATAACACGCAACAGTCCAGACCCCAGCCATCACAGCCGGCATTCAATGATATCTATTGAACACCCACTGTGTGCATGGGCACAATGACGCAACTAAATCCAAATGACAACAAGAGACACGGACCACACACCTGCGGTGAGCAGACCACACCAATGAGATTGCACAAGGACAATGGGAACTGACACTTATTGATGACATACTGTGTGTAGAAGCATTGAAAATCAAAGCAAAGGGACAGAATCTATCGCAATCATCGAGCTATGTGTCTCGATCTATAAATGGCTGCACAGAGGCCACACGTGGTTATCTGGACTCCTCCTCTGTTCCTTCATTCTGTAAATTATCAGTACAGGGCTGCAGGATAAGGCACTGAGACACAATAGAAATGCAAGGACAAGCCCATCAGTATGGAGTCTACCACCTCATAAGAGTTAATGCCAACACACTGGCCTTCCCCACCCAGCTCCTACTATCTCCTGAGATATTCTCTAGAGAACAGATTTTCTTGCAACCAGGCCAGCCTTATGTGATTATCTACCATAGTGTAATTTCAAAGGAAAAAAGCGAAACAGTTCTTCCCCCCATACTTAGAATCTGTTGGGTGAAGAGAGACAATCTTGACAACACATCCAGTTCCTGAAACTTCAATGCCAAAGATTTCAGGGGCTCTGAGGTCCAGAGGAAGAGACCAGAGAAAGGGATGGAGGTTGCCACTGGTGATGAACATAATCTATGTGGTCACTTTGCTAAGACTTGGACCATTTCCTAGAACACACCCTGTTTTATAAAAGGAGCCCTTCTTGGAATTCCAAGACCTGGGTTCAAGTCCTGACCCCAGGGCTCATAGGACCTAAATGTTTCTTTTCTGTGTCTCAGTATGGTTTTAATGAAATGAGGACAAAGAGGATATCTCCTCTGCCTGATGTTTACAGTACTATCAGGAGAGCCCTTTAAGGTCATAGTCTATGAATATAATTTTCAACTGTACGTGTGGCAAGGATGAATAGGTGATATTGAGCAGTTTGGAGGGAATTTTCTTAGAAACCCCTTTTGTGAAGAAACATTTCCATTTTTTCATCCTTGTTCTTTGGACCAGAGACCCCTGAACACTTCACAGTGACCCATCTACACTGGGGCAAAAAAAAAAAAAAATGGCATCCCTGTCCCAGGATATCACCAAGAAAGTGGAGCACCAGACTCTCACCATCTCTGGGTCTTGGAAATGTTGACCGCCTTTCCAGTATGTTGTCATCATCCCACCCCAGGGCTGCATGAATGTCACTTCTAAGTCCATTTGTATTATTACACATCGTGGTGGTTGTGGGTACGTATCCTCATTCCTTCCTGGTTCATTTTGAAGCACAGACTGTACAAATGGTACCTGATTTGAGCTTGGCCCACCTACATTTGCTCAACTGGTAACTTTCTGTAAAGAAGGAATTGTTTAGCTGTCTTGCTTCTTTTAAAAAATTATTTGTTGGTTTGTTTCTCCACCAATGAAGTTTCAACCAATTGTTTTTCTATCATCAGCCAGCAGACTCCCCTTCAGCTTTTGCATTGAACCTTCAGAATATGAAAACTCACTTTAATATCAGCCTGCAAAACATGATTTATAAATTCTGACTTTATAAAATGTCATGATGTATTCAAAAGCTAAGCAGGAAAGCATTTTAGGTTGTCTACATTTTCAAAGATATAATAATTGTGTTTTTATTTATTACCTTATCAGAAGTCATTTTTCCCTTTTTATCCTAAAATGTACCATCCCTTTTTCACTTAAATTTAACTGAAAAAACTTGTAAATATCAGTGTTTTGTGATTTTTTTCCAGTGAATAAAAGTGTTGTGTTGTTATGAAATGGAATAAGTAACATATAGAATCTTAATCACAGTGTCCACGTATTTCCCTGCTACTCTTTCATATAGTGTTAGTATATTTAGATATAAGTGAAGTCATCTGAACAGCCATCTGAATAGCCATCTGAACAGCTCAGCCCTGAACAGAGAAAGAATTTATCCAAGGTGTTTTTAGAACAGTGGTAGCCCAGCCAAAAGCCAACGTCCTCTCTCTTTCGTCCCTCATGCGTACCACTCAGGTGAGTATTCTTGTGTGTGAGCATGTGGGAACAACTGTACTGTGTCAATGATACTCCTTCATTTTGGAACTGCCTTGTTTAAATGTAAACTGCTGTTTGAGTCGAGACTATTCATCCCCCCAACTGGAATTAAGATAATAAATTAATTGTGTTTGTGTTTACACTTCTCAAGACTGGTTAATAGTAAGCTTAAGATACTGTTGGTGTGCTAAGATTTATACATATCACTATATATTGAAAATTTAATCTCATTTGGCAAAACAGATATATCTCCTCTGCCAGAATAAAACACGGCTCTGAAGTGACATTCTTAGACATTTTTCTTTCATCATCTAACATTTAAAATAAATTGCTTCTCAAATTAGAGAAATCAAAAGATAACTTCAAGACCTCAGGCGTGAAGACCAATTCCACACTTAACAAAGAAGAATATGACATGTGAGAGGTAATTAGAACAGTGAGTTCTATTTCCATCAGAAAATGATGGCTCCAAAACACATCCTTCCAGTTTAGCCATTATGGCACCCTTGGGCCCAGAAGGATGCACAACCTCTCAATAGGACACCAGACCAGGAAAGGCCTCAAGAGAAGATAATCCAACTCCCTCTTTTCTTAGGTGAAATCTGAATTTCATATAAGTAAATGACTTGCTCAAGGGTACACAGCTAGCACTTGCTGGAGCCAAAACTCTGCCCCAAGATTTTACCTCTGGGCCAGTAGACAGCACTCAGGGCCACTTAAATCTGAGTCACTGAGAGTGTTTGAAAGGCCTTTTAAGTTGCATCTGGCCTCACAGACTCTCAAGCTGTATGGAAGGCACCTTTCTTCCCTCTGGATCCAAGGGAACTCGTGATCCAGACTGCTGGATTCCAAGGAAACCATGGAGAATGACACCAAGACTGCTTTGCTGCCTTTCCTTTCTCCTTGAGCATCCATGGGGCTGTTTCCAAGTGGTGCTGAGGCCATGTGCAGAAGCACCTTGTGCTGAGAGTCAGGAAAGTAGGTGTGGGAAGAGGGGTCTCTGTGCAAAGACAGAGGACGCCTGGGCCACCCGGGACAGAAGGTGCAGTGTTCACACACCCCTGGCTGCCCTGAGCAGTGGTCATTCTTCCTGCCTCCCAGTAAGACAGGCGAGATGATCCCGACGCTCCCATTTTCCCCTACACCAGCTGGAGGGGGGAATGGCTTGGCCAGCAACTGTTGCACCCCTCCCCATCACTTCCCTTTGTTCCCCCTCAACCCCCAATGGACTGGGACAGCTCGCCTCAGTGTCTTCCCTGTCTATCTAGCAGCCACTCTCCACTCCAACGTGAGTGTAGCTACACTGTCAGTGCTGTGGCCCTCCCCTGCTAATACCATCAGACTGTTGCCTTTTGAAGAAGAGGAGGGAGCACCCTGGAATGGCTAAGATCAGAGAGGGAGGGATCTGGGCCCATTGTTAAATCCCCGACACACTCCCCCACACACACAGCTAGCCTTCCAGAATATTCCTTGGTTACTTCCCTGCCCCATCTCTGGATGCCGCCATGAGCTCCAATCATAGGCCTACACTTGGACCAATCACAGGGTTGCAGCTGCAATATAAGCAGCTCTCCCAGCCGTTTCTCTGATTAGTCTAGGAGGGTTTCCTCCTGTGTACTGACTCCCTTATGCTGCAGCACAGTCCCTGTTAAAATAAAAGCTGACTTTGATGTTCCTATAAACCTGCTCAGGCTTTATTTCTCAGGTAGTGTGATCTCCAAAAGTCCTGTAAATCTATTCAGGATAGGAATTCTGAGTAGTGTGTACAGAGGCCAGTTCAAAAGAAAGAGCAATAAATGATAGAGGCTGTTAGCACTGAAGAATTCCAGAGACTAGAAGCCAATGAAGAGCAGCAGCAGAGACCAGCACCCAATAGAGTCAACCTATGGTGTCCGGACACTGGTGGCCAGCAACAGCAGTGGCCAGCAACAGCAGTGGCTAGCAGCTGGCTGTGTCAACTGTTGGCATCCAGCATTATCTGGTGACATCAGGACTGCTAGCAGAGTTGTCCTTTGCCAATTCATGATTTCCGTCTCAACTGAGCAAAAGACCCCTAGGCTGATTAGCAACACCTGGTCACCAGGTCAGCCTCCCTCTTGAGTTGTACCAACCACCAGCCAGGAACACATCACCTCCTGGGGTTCCTGGTGCCCTCTTGAAGAGCAGCACAAACACAACTTCTGTCTCTCTTCCTTCCCTGGCAGAAGTTTGGGCAGCCAGACCCAAAAGGAGCCTGATACTGAGACCCTGGTATGTCCAATGACAGTGGCCCTAGATGGGGATATGCCTGTCAGGTAAAGGGCCGAAAACCAAGACCAGACCAGGCCACAACAAGCCTTTATTAGGGGAATAGATCTGCCGGGCTGTCTCTGAACAAAGGAGAGACAAAAGCAATATGGCCAGGGCAGGGAGAGTCTTTTATAGAGACTGGGGTGGGGTTTGTAGGGGCTGAGGTGGGATTGAGTGAGGTAGTGACTAGGGAATGGAGGGGCTGGTGATGTCACTAGGTGGTAGGAGGTGAGCGAGTATTAGGTTACTTTCTAGGCAGGAACAGGGGCATGCTGGGAAGAAGGGTTTATTCTTTGGTAGGAGCAACCATCTTGGCATGATGTCACACAGGGGAGGGGGCAAGGCACAATAGGAAGAGGGCAGCTACTATACATAATAGCTGCTGAGGTAGTGGGAGACCTATCAATGCCCACTCAATCAACATAGCTTTTGCTAATCTCCATCTTCTTTCTCAGCTCTGTGTGAGGAGAAACCTCACTACACAGGCAATATCAACAGAGTAGCCTGAATTACCACAGAAAATGTCTTTATTTCCATCAAGCACAGCTTACTGCAGCTTCTCCAATAGCAGGAGTGTGAGCATCTTCATCACCAAAAGCCTACACTGGCCCAGCAAGAGACTGCCTGAGAGACTGACTGGATCATCAGCCTTCAGTGCCTCTTGCTATTAGACCCTTCATCATTAGGCCATGGGGCATGCCAGTAATGTCAAAGGCAACACTGATAACAATAATGAATCTTGAACCATATACTCCTATACAAGTGCTCAAAGAGTTCATAATAGAAAACACATTTTTCTACATCATAAACTGTCTTAAAAATGTGTTTGAGGGCTGGGGATTTAGCTCAGTGGTTCTGCCGTCTGCCACGCAAGCACAAGGATCTGAGTTCACTCCAAGGTACCAAAAAAAAAATGTGTTTGACACTTTCTTCAGATACAACCAACTGTGAGAGCAGGGTTATTCCACTGGAATTTAGAAAACTATCACTAAACAGGGAAGTAGGCAGGGGGCTTTTCCTCCCAGAAGTGGGCCGGTCAACCCAAAGGCAGAAAGCCATGCAGACACAAGTCCTTGCAGTCCTTTGTTTAGTCCTTGTACTCCAACTCCACCCATGCCTCAAAGGCTGAGATGAAAGAATTAATCTCTAGAATCTCGCTTATTGCTGACCTACATTCCCAACTCTAGATCCTGGTCCTAGGCAGGATTACCACATAATCAATGTACTGAAATAAAATCCAGCGTGTGAAGAAAAAGGTTTTTCAGCCCACTCATCCAGTCTCGGTGCCGGAAGCTGTAGAGGAGCAAAGAAGATGAAGATGGAAGCCTGAATCTCAAGGTGACTCCTGAAATAATATGTGATTAATCCTACACAAACTTTGGGGGCCTGGAGAGAAGCTGTAAACAGAAAGATGGAGTGAACTGAGAGACAAGTCCTCCTAGATGTGGGCCTCAGAGAAGGCTTGAAGTGAAGCTATTATTAGTCAGGGCATTGGAAGATGGGAAATGATGGTGAAAGGGTATCCCAGGCTCTATCTGTGCCTGACTTCTTTTCTCCAAACCACATTTACCTAAAAACAGCTTAAGAGCTGTTAGCCATCCCCTGAAGGCTCTGAGTGAGCCTTCTATTCCCCAGAGTGGTTGCCCCCAGAATATGCCCACACCCTAATCCCAAAAGCCTATTGAAAATGGAAGGTTATAAAAAGGTATGTGATTAAATGAAGCATGTGGAGATGAGATAATCCTTCGTTATCAGGCTAAGTCCAACATACTCACAAAGACCCTTATAAGAGGGAGGCAAGAAGAACAAAGTCAGGACCGGGGATTTAGCTCAGTGGTTCCAGAGCCTGCCTCGAAAGTGCAAGGTCTTGAGTTCAATCCCCCGTACCAAAAAAAAAAAAAGAACAAAATCATTAAAAGGAGGCCATATAATATATATGTCCTCTTCATTCTGGGATGCCGTATTCATGAATTTGCTTACAAACTAAATTTTATCTAATCAAAATTAAAACTCATTTGTTTTCATAGTTGTTCGGTGCATGCACAAAATGGTGAACATTTTGATTCAACAAGGTTTATGTTCCCAGCTGAGGTCAAACCAGTTGACACTGTGCCTTCTTGTCTCAGCTCGATGGTAAACAAGCATCCTTTTCAAGGTCTAGTTAGTGTCATGTCATTTGCATTTTTGTGCTTTTCCATGGTAACTTCCCTGAAATGCAGTGCTGAAGGAATGTCTGGTGTTTCAAAGTAAGGAAAGTGCCTTACAGAGAAAAATAAGTGCATTAGTGAAACTTCATTCAGACTTGAGATACGGTGCTGACTATGAGTTCAATATCAATGAACCAGCAATATATATTAAAGGAAGTGTCTTTAAACAGAAGTACAGAAAACAAAGTCATGTATTGACTGGATGACAAAAATACCATGACCAATGGCTTGCAGAAACATAACCCTGAGCTTCCCTTATTAGCAATGATTCAGTATTTGCTAATTCAGCATTCCACATAACTTTATAGAATGTTACTGTGAAGAACAAGAATTCACTGTAATCTCTTGAGTTCCAACGTTGTCCTAAGACATCACTTTGGACACTAGTTGATTAAAATCACATTGTCCATGATTTTAACTGACCAAACTGTCACTTTCTGCACAGCTCTGCTGCCCCTCCTTCCTACTCAAGTCTGCCACTTTGATACAAATTAAGACCCCTTGGAAAGGAAGGTTTGCAATGGAAATTCACACATTTAACCAAACCACAGCCCACACTTTCTGGGGACCACATGTTTTAGGAAAAACTCTTTCTCCCCCAGTTGAAAACTTGAAAGCTATAGCTCATCTGTTTGGTAGTATTG